ATTCTAATTTGCACATTTTCATGGTCAATGGAAACACAGCTACAGACTGTAGAGAAGAATCTGATGTTTCTTTAGATTATTTTTAGTTGCTATCAAAGACAGAAGATGATGAGTTAAAGTTGAAAAAATTGTTTTAATAAACGGAGACCAGCGAGTTTATTTTATTAATTAGTTCCCCTTTGATGTCACTTCCTGTTTGACTTTGGCTGAGCCAAATTCAAAAGAAAATAGGCTAGTTATGTGACAAAATGGATAAAATCATGTGCACTGTGCCAATTTTCTAAAGTATAAAGATGCTTTCTTTGACTTATTGTATTTGAAGAACAGGCATGTCACAGGTACTTTAATAAGTTTTTTTCTGCTGTTAAAAAACAAGTCTAAATATGGGACTAACTCTACATTAACCTGTAATAACTTTCAAAGCTTTTTGAGTTTTCTACTCTAATAAACTAAAATAAAAACAGAAGCATCAAAGAAAACTATAAAAATAGAAGTGAAAGACAACATTCTTTCATCGTGATTATATTTCTATGAAATAACCAAACAGAAGGCGTGGTTAGGTGCAGAGTCCAGCTGATGGAAGATGTAACAGAAAGGGACCCAGCAGAATACGGCCTACAGGGTGCTGAGCTTCAGGTGAACTGGACTGGGTCTGGATCCAGAACTCGGACTCATTAAAACACAAGAGAAAACTGGACCAGGTTGTTTTACAGGACTCTGATCCCAGRCAGGAACAACAGAAACATTTCAGTTTCCCTCACCTGAAGAGAATGAGGTCACGACGTGTAGAAACATCTGTGACAGACGGAGACAGACGCTGTCCATCTCTTTGGTTTGTCCACTGTCACATCTGAAGACAGATGGACCGAAGGACTCTGTGACAGGCAGCTCAGCAGGACTCTTGGTGGGCAGCAGTGATGGACGAGGCTAAACAGGATGTTAGACTTCTGAGTTCCTTCCCACAGAGGTACCCCCCACCCCCACCCACCTGTTTGTCCACTCAGGGACAGCTCTGTCCCCCGATCACTCAGGGACAGCACTGTCCTCTGTCCACTCAGGGACGGCTCCGTCCCCTGCCACGTGCTTCCACTAAAGAAAGTGGCAGCTACAGATCATCCAGAGTAACCGGGGACTCAATGACCTGTCTCCTCTGGATGTGGGGGACACAATGACCTGTCTCCTCTGGATGTGGAGGACACAATGACCTGTCTCCTCTGGATGTGGGGGACACAATGACCTGTCTCCTCTGGATGTGGGGGACACAATGACCTGTCTCCCCTGGATGTGGGGGACACAATGACCTGTCTCCCCTGGATGTGGGGGACACAATGACCTGTCTACCCTGGATGTGGAGGACACAATGACCTGTATCCCCTGGATGTGGGGGACACAATGACCTGTCTCCCCTGGATGTGGAGGACACAATTGACCTGTATCCCCTGGATGTGGAGGACACAATGACCTGTCTCTCCTGGATGTGGAGGACACAATGACCTGTCTCTCCTGGATGTGGAGGACACAATGACCTGTATCCCCTGGATGTGGGGGACACAATGACCTGTCTCCCCTGGATGTGGAGGACACAATGACCTGTCTACCCTGGATGTGGGGGACACAATGACCTGTCTACACTGGATGTGG